TGTTTCGAGCAGCTTGGGCGCACCTTTGACATATACCCGTCAGGTATTGGACTTTCCTGGCTCTCTTCTGGGCCTTGGCGCGCCGATCCTTCAAAACAAGTGCTACATTGCGCCTTGCCAGCAGTAATGGCCACGCCCAGGCCCCAAACGGTATCCAGGACCCGCAAGGCCACACCAGCAGCCTGAAGGTCCCCCGAGACACGCAAAGCAACAGACCGCTTACTGATGACAATGGCCGTCTTATCAGACAACAGAAGCCTCAGGCTGCCGACTCCATGCATGAAGCGCCGCAGACACAACAGCGCTGACCACCTCGCTGGCACTTTCCTGCGAATTCTGAGATAGAGCATCCGCATAACCTTGGGTCACAGCATGACAGAAAAAATTATTATGGATGCCATCAAGCATCCGGTACAGAGGCTTTGGTCAAATGAATGTTCTGGGAACATCATGGGAGGACCCCAACACCATATTGGACATTCTCAGAACATACCCCCCGTCTCTAACATCCTGGGCGAGAGATGGATGAGTACTCCCATGTACATCAAATGGGGAGGAAACTGCAATTTGCATCCCAGCTTAATCAAAGAAGACAGGCGAGACGGTGTCAAACAACTTGCGCAAGTCCCAGTGCAGAGCGACGGACACACTGTCCTCGAAGGCAGCCGTCTCACGGGACATCTTGCGCCGCAGCGCCGCCTGTCAAGGGCCGATTTGCTCTTGATAGCTGTGTCCCCAAACGCAACATGTTCACGGGTCCAATCGTCAAGAAAAGACCCGACGGGGAGGGGGAGGGGGAGGGGGAGGCGGAGGCGGAGGAGGAGGAGGAGGAGGAGGAAGAGGAGGAGGAGAAGAGGAGGAGGAGGAGGAGGAGGAGGGAGAGGAGGGAGGGAGGGAGGGAGGGAGGGAGGGGAGGGGGAGGGGAGGGGAGGGGAGGGGAGGGGAGGGAGGGAGGGAGGGAGGAGGAGGAGGGGGAGGGGGAGGGGGAGGGGGAGGGGGAGAGGGAGGGACAGCAGCAGCGGGCGTGGAAGAAGGGGGAGGGGGAGAGGGAGAAGGACGCAAGGGCCTCTGGGAGAAACATGTTCACCTTACCCTGGCTATCGCAGCCACTTCGGCTCAGGCCTGTGATGGGAGTTCGGCGGAGCCCAGCCTCATCCCGTCATGTCGAGGTCGGTCACTCCGTGTGGTGGGGATCAATTGCCTCAGGCTGTGGTTGTTTCGGGTGCTGGCACAGCGCATGCCAACGGTGTGTACAAGATGACCGGCGGCGAGTACTGTGACGCCCCAGTGTACGAGCACATGGACTTCGGCGCCAGCCTGAAGATCACGCGGGAGCCCCACAGGAGCCCGAAGACGGGCGTCGTGAAGCACGGCTGGGTGATCGGTTTCGAGAAGGCGCCGCTCTACGGCGCGCCCACCGAGGCGCTCGTCGTGCCCGAGGGCGGCTGGAGAAGATTCAGCTCGTTGCGTCATATCCGACCCCCGACCAGATCACGGGTCGGTTTTGGAGGTCGCCGCGGCGATCGCGGCGGCCACAAGCCAGGGCAAGGTTTTGTCAAGGAGTGGTATGCCCATTCCCAGCCACCCGCCCGCTCCGCGAGGTAGACGCCGTCCAGAATTGACAAGACTGCGAAAGAGGGTTGCCACCTTACATCCAACATGGGCAGTCCTGTTTTATCGGTTAGGTTGGGTGTTGCTAGAGGTACCCCCAGGATTTCCGAGGAGGCCCCCCCACGGCCTCCAGAGCATCCCTCGCGAGGCCCGGAGGGCCCCAGGGGCTCCCAGACTTCACGATAAAGCTGGGGGCGCCTTGGGCCGGGGGCACCTTCGGCGGCCCCTGGTTCTGGGTCGGCCGTCGCGCAACCCTCGGCGGCGTCGAGCCGCTGCCGGCCGTGCGGGCCCACCCCGACGTCTCCGACCTCCTCCTCGAGCTCGCGGACGACGCGCGCGCCGCGGGCGACGCCTCTGCAGAGCGAGAGGACTGGGCGGCCGCGGCCAGCAGCTTCACGCAGGGCGTCGCCGCGCTGAGGCCAGAGGACCAGCACAGCACAGACGTCAGAGGAGGGCAGGGTACCCACGCCGCTACCCTCCGCCTGTTTTCCCTTCTGTTGGCCTCCTGGGAGGCCCTCGTCGGCACGGCTGGCTTCGCCTCGGAATTCTGGTCAGGACGCGCCCCGGGAGAGGTCTGGGGAGTAGCGGAATCGGTACTTCTGATTTCCCCAACACGGTGGGGACGCTGATTAAGGAATGTGCCCGGGAGGGTCAGACCCTGTAGGATTTTTGATATGATGAGGGCGGCGGTGATATCCATGGCCAATCTACGGTTGGAGTTCCACTGGCTTCAAGACCCTATTCCTTATCCGATGGTTCCTTACACAATGCCCGAGGGCTGTTCACTCAGTGTTTGCCCCAGTTGATGCATCGCCTATCCTCATCGCACGGCAGGCTGAGATGGAGGTTCCATCGCACCATACGCTATCGGAGATCCGCCGCGGGTTCGTGGATCTGGAGCAGGCAACGGCAGGAGTATACCAGAGCTTTAGCCAAACCGTGCTTCGTCGATTTCCTTGGGGGGCGTCTTCGCTTTGATTTCGTTTTGCGGCAGAGGCGGAACGCAGGCAGAACGAGGGAAGACGACAGCGAGAACAAAACGAACACGGAAGACACTGCTTCCCTCGCGCCCTGAAGCATGCACTTTCGGAGATCCGCTGGGGTTTCTTGGCTCTGGGCCCAGTCTGGCGCGCGGCGCCAGAGGCGCCGCCAGGGGGATCTGGCTCCGATCCAAGACATTCGCGGTGGACCTCCGAAAGGTTCATTCAAGTGGCTTATGCCTTTCCGCCGACCCCCCAGGTCGGGCCTCTTGGGGGCTCTCGGAGGCATTTGGGGGGCTTTTCGGGGCTTCTTGAGGGCCCCTTGGGGAGGCTTTTCGGGAGCCTCGGGGAAGCCTCTCGGGACCTCTTGGGGGCGCCTCGGTGGCCTTTGGGGACCTGTCGGAGCTGCGTCGGGCTGTGGCGACGAGGGCCCCCCCCCGAAGGCCAAGAAGCCCGCATGGACCTCCGACCGTTCATGCGCAGCAGGGCCAGTTTCGGGCCGATTCGACATCGATTCCAGCCGATGATCCTCAGGACATGTGTTGGCCCAATGTGTGTTGCCCCCTTCAGCCCAATGGATCATTACATCGCCTGCGTCGTATCGAAGGGTCTCGATGGACAAACACACGCGGGGGCTACAGTAACACACGTTCTGAGGATCATCGATCCAGCCGGCCCGATCCGATCCGATTCGGTATGCCAGCGAGCCGAGGCGGCCAGATGCTTGCATGGCGCTGCTGTGCACCCTGCCGCGGCCGATCCGCTCCGCTTCGACGCCGGCTTCGTGCCGGCGTGAGCCGACCCGACGCACCTCCCGAACTGGAGGGTTTCTCCGAAGGGCTTAGGCGACCCGTTCTCCTCCTCCTCCTCCTCCTTCCTCCTCCTCCTCCTCCTCCTGCCCTGAGGGTGGGGGCCTGGCACCAGTGCTCATGGTGTCAGCGCCACACACTCCTCGGGGCATACCGTCAGAGTCGACTGCATGCGGCGACTGGGGCCAGCTAAACCGGCTCGCGCCTCTTAGAACCAGCCGCGTGGCATTTTGCCCGTGGCAGCGGCGTTAGCCACGCTCCGTGGCCAGGGGATGGGTACCAGGAGCGGGGGATTGCGCATTTGTTTGAGAGGCGGGGCCATGTGGTCCGTAAGTTCCATGGTGGCCGTGTGCCCACTCACCCTGGGAAGCCCCAGTTTGAGCATGCCAGCTGATTGGGCAGGGGTTGATAATCGGGAAATGCACCTCGCAGTGACGAGGTGAATCGATCGTCCCCCTACGCACCGCGCCCTCTCGGCTGGAGGCAAGTCGCTGGGCGACGAGGTAGCTGCCTATCCCCTGATTGTCGGTGCGCGCGCCTTCGGGCCCGCTTCCTCCTGTAAAGGGGGAGGCCGGGGGTGCCGGTTGCCTGCCATTGCCGTGGACACCGTCCACTACCTGGATCCATGACTCCTCCTCTTCTTCTTCCTCCTCCTCCTCCTCCTCCATCTCCTCCTCCTCCTCCTCCTCCTCCTCCTCCTCCTCCTCCATCTCCTCCTCCCCCACCTCCTCCTCCTCCTCTTCCTCGGGTCGCCTACGGCCCCGGGGGAAACAGTGCGGCCCCAATCGACCCGAGCTCCCGCTGCGGAGCCGACCGATCCTGTGCGTCGAAGAACAAACGCCACAAACATGATTTTTTGATGGTCCGCGCGGATTTCTTGGATCCGCGCTGGCCCCCCCCTGGCGGCGCCTCCTGCGCCGCCCCTGGCGCTCTCCGCGCGCCAGGGAGGGTCCATCGCATATCAAAAGAATCCGCGCGGAGCGCCAAGACTTCGTTTGGTGTGGCGTTTTTCTTTATTCCAGTGCAGCGGTTCTCTCTTCGTCTTAATTTTGGCCTGTCCCTCTAAAGGAAGAATATTCAAACATAGTTTTAACATCGTCAGGGGACTATTGTCTTTCGAATATTCAGGTTTTTTTTTTTTTTGGGTATTTCTTATTTTTCGCCCCAGATCCGCCTGTGGGGGGACATGCCCGACCTAATCCGCCTGTGTTGCAGCGGTTCTCTCCTCTCGGGGAAACGCATGATTCGAGTAAGCCGGAATTCGGGTTTCCCGACGCTTTTTGACGACCGCATCCTGAGTTTTGACGGTCCAGTGTTCGTGGGATGTTTGCAGCGGGAGCTCGCGTCAACTTTCAGAGTGGGTCTCGTTTTTGTCATGATGGCCCCGTCAAGCCAACCCGAGCCCCCCGTACCCTGAAGTCGGGCTTGTCCCTCACAGACGGGGATATTCAAAAATAGTTACAACATAGTTTATATACGCACATATATACATACATATACACAGGATTTTTTATTTTTCGTCCAAAACCCCCGTCCGTTTAGGGGACAGGCCCGACCTAACCGTACCCGAGTCTTGCTTCTCCCTGGTCTTCCTCGGCAGGCGGCTGGACGACCAGGCGAGCGACGCCTTCCGGGACCGGGCCGGGCTCCTGCTGTCGCGGAGGGCGGCGGCGGGCCTGCGGCTGCAGGACCCCCGCGCCGCGCTGCGCGACGCGCTGGCCTCCCTGGACCTGGTGAGGAGCCGCGGGGCGGGAAAGTGACCACAGCTACTGCTTTTCTTGTGTTGCCGCCCTCCAGTCGAGGGCGGCAAAGAGGGGGGGGATGACTAGGGGGGCGTGGATCTCATGGCGGGGGCCATGATGTTTCCCCAGATCTCATGGCGCCTCCTCTGATTTCATTACGTCCCTGGCCCCCCCCCCGCTGGGCCGCGCACGTGCCGCCGGTCATGATTTGCACCCCCCCCTCTTGGACACCCCCCTCCTGGCCGCGCCCGATGCAGCCAGCAGAAACAAAGTAGTGGTCGGGGTCACTCTCGTTGAGCCTGGCGCCAGGCGAAGGACCCCAACCACTGCGCCCTGTTCGGCCGGCTGGAAGGCGGCGCAGACAAGAAGCAGTGGTCGTGGTCATTTGCCCGTCCCGCAGGAGCCTCGCGTCGGCCAGGGCCGCCGCGGCGGCGGCGGCGCGGGCCCTGGGCTGCGAGGATCGAAGAGCTGCAGGCCTCCCAGATGGGGTCCAGGTGCGGCAGGCTCGCAGGGCTCGTTTCGATTTTCTCCGACTCGAGTCGGTCCGATTTCGACGGCTTCCCGTTCCGCTTCGATTCGGCTTCGAATTCCGATTCGGGTCCCGATTTCGCAATGGAGGCCTACTACATGGCGAATTTCTGCCGATTCGACTTCTCCCGACTTGGCTGCCCATTTTCGCCGATTCGATTCATTTCGATCGCCGACCCGATTTATCGATTCGATTCTGGGCTCTCCTGGGCTCGCGTTGTGTCGACTGGCGGTGACCCCGACGCCGCCGTTCAACGTTGAACGCCGCTGGCGACCCAGAGTCGGTTGATGTGGAGCGATCTGGCGTTCCGGAAACGGCCGAACATGGAAGGTTGAACGATCCCTGCGGTGTCAGGAACCGACGCCACGGTCGTCATGACGCGAACCTGCCGTAGATGGGGTCGGAGGATGGCTGCGCATCGCTGATGCATCGACCGTTCAGCTGGATGTGGAGCTAGAATTTTTCCACGCCGACGGTGCCGATGCATCGCCGACGTCGCCGATGCATCGCCGACGCCTCGGCGATCCGACGCGATGCTCCGACCCCACCTACTCGGATCCCAACTAGGAGGCCTCTAGAGGATGGAAAATCGTTGCAATCGAAGTGGGCTTAGAAAGAACGGATGCGAAGACCGACAGCAGTTCCTGTCCACTGCGAGCAGGGCTCGCTGTCGGCGTCGCTGTGGACCTTGCCCATTTGAGGCAGAAGGCCGCCTGCCCAGCAGCGGCCGCTGTCGGTTTTGGATAGCATCAGTTGTTGGGCGTCGTACCCATTCTTTCCGTACCCATTCGGGGCGTCCAAAAGGGAAGCCCGTTCGGGAGCCTTGAGACGGGGGTCAATGCAAACGGGGGTCAACCGGATCCTGCAGGATCTTGCGAAGATCCCCTCTGGCTGACCCGGGTTAGCGAGCCGCTCGTGGCCGCGAGGCGGCCGCGCATATTGGCTGACCCGGGTTTGCGAAGCCCTGCGTTGCAGTTTGTTTCTCCTGCATTGCAGTTTTTGGTTTCCTGCTGACCCGGGTCTGGATCGACCCGGGTCAGACGATTCCCGACCCGTACCTCCAACGCTTCGAGGAACAATCCAGGCGGAGGTTCCTCGCCGCTCCCGGCCTCTGGGCCGCGAGGATCGGAGAAGCTCGGGCCTCCAAGACACGGTCTCGCTGCCCTCTGGCGCGCAGCGGTCGCTGCCCAGGCCAGACCCCCGCCCCCTCTCTTGGCATCGCTCGGACGTGTGCATTTTTTCTCGGCGAGAACCATTGAGGACGATCCTGGACCATCGAGCGACAAAAACACGCGCGAAACCGAAGAATGCACGGGAAGTGGACGTCCGAGCGATGGCGAGCTCTCTCCCCCTCCCCATCCCCTAGGGGCAGCGGCGCCGACCGCGCGCGGGAGAGGGGGGGTGCTCGGACCTCCCCCCCTCGCACGCCGGTGCCCGCGCGCACGCCTCGCGCGGCGACCGCAGCGCGCCCCCGCCCCGACGCGCCCCGCCCCGACGCGCCCCGCCCCGCCCAAGCGTGGCCGCTGCCCGCCCCCCCCCCCCCCCTCCTCCCCCTCCTCCCCCCTCCCCACCTCTCCTCCTCCTCCTCCTCCTCCTCCTCCTCCTCCTCCTCCTCCTCCTCCTCCTCCTCCTCCTCCTCCTCCTCCTCCTCCTCCTCCTCCTCCTCCCCCGTGTGACGACCGTCGCTGGAATCGGAGGGTGAACGTGGGGCTCGGGCGCAGGGTCCCGGCAGTGGTGTCTGTCTGGGCCATGCGTGGGCGATACCTCCTCGGCTGTCGTGTGCGGCGGGGGGGGCACTGGATGCCGATCGCACCCGATCGCACACAAGAGCGATAGATGGAGCATACAGGGGCCAAGCAGCCCCCATGGAAGAGCCCCTGTTGCCGACCCTGAAGCCTGAACCCCTGTCGCCGACCCCCTCTTTCAGCCTTCAACTGGAAGCCTGAAGCCGCCACGCTGCAGCGTGTTGTGAGCAGAGCGAGGCGGAGGCTCCTCCGCTGCCGGTCGGCATCCGGGGTCCCCCGCCGCGCCCGAGGGCCGTCATTCAGGAGGAAAAGAAACACACAGACACGATTAATCCTCAATTCCCCAGAAAATATGGGAAAATATGGGAAGTGGGCGGGAAGACAGAAACCCAGACCATATGGGAAAATATGGGGAATGTTTTTTGTATTTATTTGTGTGTCCTTGGGTCCCTTCAGTCACAGGAGGACTCGGGGTGGCGAGAGCCCGCCCCTGGGGGGAGGGGGCTTGGGAGCCCTGCGGCCGTGCACCGAGAGCGCCACGTCGTCGGAGGCCTCGGCGGCACAGACCTGCGCAGGGGAGGAGGAGACACACAGGCACGGTTCGTCGTCGATTCCCAGGGAAGTATGGGAAGCGGGGGGGAGACAAGAGCCCAGAAAGTACGAGACAGCATGCGGAATCCTTGGATCTCGGGGCGGCACAGACATGCTCAGGAGAGGAAGAAACACACAGTTAAGTCGGGCCTGTCCCCCTACAGGGGGATGTTCGACGAAAAACAAGACACACCCCCAAAGGTAGTCAAAACATCGTCCCCAACATAGTCAGGGGACTCTTTTTTTGGTATTCTCTTCTTCGGGTATCTTTGGGGCATTTTTCATTTTTCGTCGAAGATCCCCCTGTAGGGGGACACGCCCGACATAAACACACAGGCACGGTTCATCGCCGGCTCCCAGGGAAAGTATGGGAAATGGGGGGGAGACAAAACCCCAGAGGGTATGAGACAGTATTCGGAATCCTGGGATTTGTGTCCATTTATTGAATCGCTTCGCTCATTCCGCCGGCCCATACAGTCTCATGTCTGCCGTTTGCCCGAGGGCCTGGTGTCAATGCGGCGCTTTGGGGGTTATTTTGCCAGGCGTCTCGGGAACCTCTTGGAGGCAGTGTTGAAGCCTCTTGAGGCCCCGTAAGGGCCGTTTGGGGGTCGTTGGGGCTTCTTGTTGGGCTTCTTGGATGGTTCTTGGGGCGTCTTGGGGGACTTATTGGCGGGATGTTGGTGGCTTCTGAGGGGCTCCTAGGGGCAGAATCCCCCTTTGGGCGCCTATTGGGCGGTCTTGGTGCTCTCTTGTGCCGTCTTGGGGTTATCTTGGGCCGTCTTGGGCCGATTTTAGCGGATTGTTGGGCTGTCTCGGGGCCTTCTGAGGGGCTCTTGGGGGCTCTTGGGGGCCCATGGGGGCCTCTTGGGGGCCTCTGGGGGCCTCCCGGGAGGCTCTTAGGACTGAGGGCTCGAAATGTTGTTTCGTGTTCCCCCTCTGGGGCCGTTCTTGGAGCCCTCTTGGGCCGTCTTGGGGGCGTCTTGGGCTGTCTTGGGGCGCTCTTGGGCCGTTTTGAAGCCCTCTTGGGGGCCTTTTGGGCCGTCTTGGGGCGATCTTTGGGGCCTCTTTGGTCGTCTTGGAGCGTCGGGAAGCGGAAAAGGCGAGAATGCGAAAATCCTTCAAAAACCTGAGGGAAATCTATGAATTTTGCCTCTTGGGGACCTCTTGGCAGGGCTCTTGGAGGCTTCTTGGTGCGTCGGGGAGCCATCTTAGGCGTTTTGGAGCGATATTATGGCGTCTTGGAGCTCTGTTGGACCATATTGAGGGCCTCTTGGGGGTCTCTGAGCACTTCTCGGGGCTCTTGGGAGGCCCTGAGGGCGGCGCCCAGGAGCAGAACCATCCCCGACAGGGAGTTGCCCAGGGACCTGGTCAGGGTACTTTTCGTCCGGGGACCCCCAGGGGCCGCCCCGCGCGCGCGAACTAGAAAATTGTTAAGCAGTTACCGGAGATCTTAGCACGCCTCTGGCCCGTTGGGCCGGCGAATTGGTGTGTCTCAGGGCCCCTTTACAATCATACGTTAGCGGAGGTCCGCGCGGGCTTCTGGGATCGGCGTCGCACTTCTGGCGGCACCTCTGGCGCCACCCCTGCTCTAGGGGGAGGAGGCTCAATCTCGCCAGTCCAAGAGACCCTCGCGGAACTCCGAGCAGGTGCCTCTGCCTGTGCAGAGGCGCTCCCTCCAGAGGACGAGGCCGCCCTGCAGAGCATCCTGGCCTTCTCACAGAAGAGCACACGGCATGTCCACAAACTCTTGGCGCTCCGCTCGGATTTCTTGGATCTGCGTTGGGCCCCCCCTCACGGCGCCTCCCGCGCCGGCCCCGGCGCGCGGAGCGCGCCAGGTAGGGGGGGGGTCCGGCGCAGATCCAGGAACTCCGCGCGGAGCGCCAAAAGTTGGCGTACGTGCCGTGCTTTCTTCTTCTGGCCTCGTGGGCGAGGGGAAGATCCTGGACCCCGAGGCCCCCCTGGCGCTGCGCTGCGTGGAGCGGCGGGCGCGACGGCGGAAAATTCGGGGTCGACCGCGCGGAGCCTACCGCGTAGGCTTCCCGCGCACGGTCGTCGCGCGTGGGGCGCGCTCTTCGCCGCGCGGCGTGCCGCGCGTGGGCGGCCCGCGCAGGCCGCGCCCGTGAGGTCGCGGAGGTCAGCCGCGGGATTCTCAGCCCGGCATCGCTCGGAGGTGTGCACTTCTGTTCGGCCAGGACCGTCGAGGAGCATCCTGGGCCATCCTGCGAAAGGCGTACGGCGTCGAAGCAGGAACGGGGGGTGGAATGGACGTCCGAGCGGTGGCCAGCAAGAGGGCGACCTTGGAGCCGCCTTTGTTCGGCCAGGACCGTCGAGGAGCATCCTGGGCCATCTCGCGAAAGGCATACGAAGTCGAAGCATTAACGGGGGGGGGGGGGAATGGACGTCCGAGCGGTGGCCAGCAAAAGGGCGGCCTCGGAGCCGGCTTGGGGTCTGAGATGGCCCCCACGCGGGCTCTGGTCAGGCGGAAGGGCGGGCAGCGGCTCGAGGACCCGTGTCTGGGAAGGCTTTGTCTGCCCGTCTCGGCCTTCTGGGGGCCGCCGAGCCGGGACCCAGGGCCGGCAGGAGCGGGTCTTGGCTGAAACGCTGCACCAGAGGGTGATCGTTCTCTCGTTCCCTGTCTTGCCGAGCGGCGCGGAGCCTCGCACCCCCTCCCCCCTCCCCCAATGGAGCAGCTCTTGGCTGTTTTGGGCGCCAGCTTCGGGCAGGCGGAGCCTCTCCCCCACAGGACGCGCCGTCGCAAACAGTCGCACTGAGCAGAGTTCCTCGGGGCCAGGCCCCCCCCCCCTTCCGCCCAATGTCGGAACGCCGAACAAGAAAACACTCACCTCGCCCCTGGAAGAAGTCCGAGGACCAGCCTCCTCCAAGGACGACCCCCTCCTCCTCCCCCCCTCCGTCCTTTCTCGGGGTGGGGGGGGAGAAGGAGTGCTCCCGGCGGCGACAGATGATGATGCGCGGCCCAAGAGACGGGAGTCAATGCAAACGGTGGCCAGTCAGAGCGCTGGATCTTGCAGGATCCTGCAGGGCCAGGGGCGCATTGACCCGGGTTTTGGTGCAGGATCCTGCAGTATCCTGCAGGATTTTGCAGGATTTTGCAAGGCCCGACTGACCCAGGTCTGGATTGACACGGTTCAGTAGATCCCCGAATGATTTTTCCCAACCCTCCTGCGTTGGGTACTCGTTTTGAATAGAGCACTGCGGTCGCGTCTTCCCTTCTCCTCCTTCCCGTCCCCCTCCTCTCCTCCCTTCTCCTCCTCCTCCTCCTCTTTTCTCTTGCATCCTTGGGGGGCTGCGATCTGTGTAACTGTCGCCACTTTCGAGGGCTGCTGGGGGGTTCAGCGGAGTGACGTCTTACGGGGACTCAGATTAGACCTCGCCATCGCTGGGGGGCTGCGATCTGTGAAACTGTCGCCACTTTCGAGGTCTGCTGGGGGGCCCAGCGGAGTGACGTCTTACGGGGACTCAGATTAGACCTCGCCATCCCTGGGGGGCTGCGATCTGTGAAACTGTCGCCACTTTCGAGGGCTGCTGGGGGGCCCAGCACAGTGACGTCTTACGGGGACTCAGATTAGACCTCGCCATCGCTGGGGGCTGCGATCCGTGAAACTGTCGCCACTTTCGAGGGCTGCTGGGGGGGGCAGCGGAATGACGTCTTACGGGGACTCAATTAGACCTCGCCATCCCTGGGGGGCTGCGATCTGTGAAACAGTCGCCACTTTCGAGGGCAGCTGGGGGGCCCAGCACAGTGACGTCTTACGGGGACTCAGATTCGACCTCGCCATCCCTGGGGGGCTGCGATCTGTGAAACAGTCGCCACTTTCGAGGTTTGCTGGGGGGCCCAGCGGAGTGACGTCTTACGGGGACTCAGATTAGACCTCGCCATCCCTGGGGGGCTGCGATCTGTGAAACTGTCGCCACTTTCGAGGGCTGCTGGGGGGGGCAGCGGAGTGACGTCTTACGGGGACTCAGATTAGACCTCGCCATCCCTGGGGGGCTGCGATCTGTGAAACTGTCGCCACTTTCGAGGTTTGCTGGGGGTCCCAGCGGAGTGACGTCTTACGGGGACTCAGATTAGACCTCGCCATCCCTGGGGGGCTGCGATCTGTGAAACTGTCGCCACTTTCGAGAGCTGCTGAGGGGCCCAGCACAGAGACGTCTTACGGGGACTCAGATTCGACCTCGCCATCCCTGGGGGGCTGCGATTTGTAAAATTGTCGCCACGTTCGAGGGCTGCTGGGGGGCCCAGCACAGTGACGTCTTACGGGGACTCATATTAGACCTCGCCATCCCTGGGGGGCTGCGATCTGTGTAACTGTCGCCACTTTCGAGGGCTGCTGGGGGGCCCAGCACAGTGACGTCTTACGGGGACTCAGATTCGACCTCGCCGTCGCTGGGGGGCAGCGATCCGTGAAACTGTCGCCACTTTCGAGGGCTGCTGGGGGGGGCGGCGGCGTGACGTCTTACGGGGATTCAAATTAGACCTCGCCATCCCTGGGGGGTTGCGATCTGTGACACTGTCGCCACTTTCGAGGGCTGCTGAGGGGCCCAGCACAGTGGGGACCCACCGCAGACTCAAATTAGACCTCGCCATCCCTGGGGGGCTGCGATCTGTGACATTGTCGCCACTTTCGAGGGCTGCTGGGGGGCACAGCACAGTGGGTACCCACCGCAGACTCAAATTAGACCTCGCCATCCCTGGGGGGCTGCGATCTTTGAAACTGTCGCCACGTTCGAGGACCGCTGAGGGGCACAGCACAGTGGGTACCCACCGCAGACTCAAATTTGACGCCGCGTTCTTCCTTGTTCTCCTCCTGCAGTCACCTTCCCTCTGCTGCTGCCGTGCTGATGGTTCGGCTTCCCGCACGTTTTTCTCTTGCTCTGCGTTCCCGACTCCCCATGTCCTCTTCGAGCTTGTAGCTGTCGCCCCTCGTTCTTGTATGGTTCTCCTGCGCATCATGCCATAGGCGCGTGTCCCAAGTAGCTTACACATCAAGTTGATTGTTCATGCAAGTTTCGGCCAACCCCTCGTTTCCATTGATACAAATGGGTTGGGTACGTCACAGGGTAATTCTCCTTTCGGTATTGTGGCCCCCTGCCTGCGCTTCATGTTTTGAGGCCTGCTCTGATTCGCGTGATGCCCAGGCTCGCGCGGCTCCTATCTTGGTGGGCCGCAGCAGCATCTGTTAGTCTTGTGGCCCCCTGGTTTTGGTGTCGAACTTCTGGAATCGCAGTATGCAGGAGGGAAAAATCACGGACACAAATCATCGCCGATCCCAAGGACATTGACTATGCAACAGATTGGAAGCGGAGGGGAAGAAGACGACCCTCCAGAACATAATGGAATGTATTCGGGATCCTGGGGTTTGTGTCTATTACCTATTTATGTGTCCCTGGGCCCCTTGACTTATTCGGAGGTTGATCGACTTCCTATCCTGACACGTCGATTAAGGAATTGGCCGTTTTCGGTTCGCGAGAGGGCGTCGCGGCCGTTATTTTTGCAAGTCCAGGTCCGTCGGTTTCGGTCCCAGGCTGTTTTCACGAAAGGGAGGCTTACTAAAGGGAGGTTTGTCCACCGCCGACTTATGCCTTCTCGCGCGAGGCCTCTTCTTTTTGTTGGCCGTCGCCCAGGTGGCTCGACGACGCGCTGACCGCCTGGGAGGCCTGGCGCCAGGCCGGCGGCGACCTGGCGCTGCCAGAGCCCAGGCACCTGCCCGCGGACAGGTACCTCGGGGGCCTCGACGAGGAGGCTCGCGAGGATCGCCAGGGGTCAGAACCCCGAATCGTGAGGTAGGGGGCCACATGCGAACCCTACCCCTACCCCCGACGATTTCTGAGGGGTAGGGGTAGGGTTCGCATGTGGCCCCCTATCTGGGCTGGGGGCGGTCTGGGTTTGCTACAGATGTCATGGCGCCAACATCGCAGAGCGGATCGCGTTCGGAAAACGGTCGGGTGGGCTCGGGGTGTCCCGGAGAATGTCGTTCCGGATGTCGAGGGGAATGTCGCGCGGATTTTTTTTGGCCAGGAATAAAGACCAAAAAGAATCCACGCGAAATTCATTTCGTTTTTCGCTCGCCGCTTCGGGCAGACATCCACGCAGAAATCCACGCAGAAGTCCGCCGCAGGACGTCTGCAAGGCCGGTGCAATGACAGATTCGCGCCTCGGGGGCCCATACCAGAGCTAGTTACCCTGGACCGCAGCTATCCCAGATAACTCGGGCGTCCAACCTTCCCGAATCATCAGGGCTGGGGGCAGTCAGGGGTCAGCACAGATGCGCGCCTCGGGGGCCTGGACTGGAGCTGCCCCGGACCGCAGTCATCGCGGATAGCTCGGGTGCCCACATCAGGGGCAACGATAGGGGGGGATAGGCATAGGGGGGGATGCATCGACCCCCAATCGCCCCTTGATCGCCGATAATCAGGTGTCCGATGGCCCCGACCTCCCCAGGAAGGTGCGGGTTCGCTGCCGGAGGCCTACCGCCGATGCATCGGCGACGTATCGCCGATTCCAGGTCGATGTTCCCCCCCTATCCCTACCCCCCCCCCCCTGTCGTTGCCCCCCTCGCCGCAGAGGGGGGTCGCGGGCCCCGAGGGCAGCGGAGGCAGGAGGAGGAGGAGGAGGAGGAGGAGGAGGAGGAGGAGGAGGAGGAGGAGGAGGAGGAGGAGGGGGAGGAGGAGGAGGAGGAGGAGGAGCCCCTCGGGGCCCTCCGCGGGCCCCCGGGCCTCTCCGAGGGCGGCCTCGGGAGGAGCGCGCGGTCCCCTGGGGGGCGGGGGGGCCCCCCGGGGCCCGGGCCCCGCCTCCCTCGGGGCCCGTCTCCTCCCGTGCGAAGGCTACGCTGGGCCTGTGCCTCTACTCACCACCCACCAAGCCACCCCAACCCAACCCGAGGGCCTCAATTTATCCTCGATTTCCAGTGGGGGGGGGTCGGGGAACATTGAAAACACACATTGAATCCGTAACCCCCCCCAACCCGAAATTCGGGTCAAATTCGGGTCTTCGGGTTGGGTTGGGGTGGTCTGGTAGGTAGTCATCTGCAGGGTGGATATTCAAAACTAGGCAACAATAAATAGCCTGGGGTCTGTTTTTTGGATTGTTTTGGGGCCCCTTTGGAGCATTTTTGGGGTTCTTTTTCATGTCTTCGTTGAAAATGCCCCCGTACGGGGACACGGCCGACTTCATCCTGGGGGGCGGGGATGCCCCGGGGCCCAGGATCTAGGCCTCCTAGATGGTGTTGGAGTAGATGGGGTCGGAGGATCGCGCCGCATCGCCGATGCATCGCCGATGCGGCTCGTTGTGCAGCCCGCTTTGCTCCACGTCAACGTCGCCGATGCATCGCCGACGTCCACGATGCATCGCCGGTGCATCGCCGATGCATCGCCGATGTATCGCCGATGCACCAGTGATACGGCGCAATCCTCCGACCCCATCTGCTCCGACCCCATCCAGGAGGCCTCTACAGGCCCCGTCTCCCTCGGGGCCCGCCTCCTCCCATGGCGGAGAGGAGGTCCTCAAGGCCTACCTGCCGGAGGAGTTCCGGCCGCAGGGCGGCACGGGGGTCATCCACGACCCCAGGGAGTGCCTGCAGCTGATGCACAAGTGGGAGGAGGTCCAGCCCCAGACTTATGATACTGTATCTCTGGGGCCCCCTGGTTTTGGTGAATCGCAATATGCAGGAGGGAAAAATCACGGACACAAATCATCTCCGATCCCCAGGAACTTGACTATGCAACAGATTGGAAGCGGAGGGGAAGAAGACGACCCTCCAGAACATAATGGAATGTATTCGGGATCCTGGAGCTTGTGTCTATTACCTATTGATGTGTCCCTGGGCCCCTTGTCTTATTCGGAGGTTGATCGACCTCCTACCCTGACACGTCGATTCAGGAGTTGGCGCCGTTTTCGGTTCGCGAGAGGGCGTCGCAGCCGTCATTTTTGCAGGTCCAGGTCCGTCGGCTTCGGTCCTAGGCCGTTTTCACCAAGGGGAGGTTTACTAAAGGGAGGTTTGTCCACCGCCGATTTCGAGCACCACGAAGGTATCGAAGCTTCAAGGTTTTCACGTGTCGGGCCCCGGGAGGCGATACTCGTGCGACACGGTTTCGACACTTTTCTGGGCGCTCGAGATAAGTTCTGGGATGTGGTCGTGAAGTGCGACGGGAGCAACATAGCCCCAGACTGGAGTCGGGCGTGTCCCTCTACAGGAGGAATGTTCAAAAGTAGTCAAAAAATAGTTTGGGCACGTTTTTTTGAGCATTTTTTTGTTGTTTATATTCTTTTGGGACTGTTTTGATTCGTCGTCCAAAATCCCCCTGTTAGGAGGGCACGACCGACCTAACCCAGGACCTCACCACCCACCAAGCCAACCCCAACCCAATCCGAAGGCGCCAACCTGCCCTCGATTCCCAGCGGGGAGGTGGCGGGGAACCGTGAAACGTGTGAAGTTCGTACCCCTCCCAACCCGAAATTCGGGTCCTCGGCTGGGGTTGAGGTGGCCTGATGGGCAGTCAAGACCTAGCGTTAGGTCGGGCCTGTCCCCCTACAGGGGGATTTTGGTTTACAAAAACATGTATATATATATATATATATATTTATGTGTATATATATATATATATATATAAAACGAAACATATCCCCAGAATGCAAAGCAACAATAAAAAATGGTCCCCAGACTATTTTTGGGCTATTTTTGAATATTCCTCCTGTAGAGGGACAGGCCGGACTTGATCCCAGCGCCGCAGAAATATCCCGACGGGAGGCTTCTGGCCGCCCGCGGCCTCCGGGGGGCCCCCGGCGGGTCCGGGAACCATCACACAGAAGTCGCTCGGGGCGAGGCACCCGCCCCGGGGAGAAGCGGCCTCGGTGGCGAGCCTTTGGGGGGGGCAAGCGAGAAGGAGGAGGAGGAGGAGGAGGAGGAGGAGGAGGAGGAGGAGGTGGAGGAGGAGGAGGAGGAGGAGGAGCAGGCCCGCTCTAGAATTGAGGCGGGGCTGCTCAGAAGCCCTCCGGGCCTTCTGAAAAGTGTTCTCTTCGCAGGCCTGGAGGTGGACATCAACACAAAGTCTCGGCGGTGTGCTTCCACTGGGGGAAGAGGATCCCGATCTCGGTGACGGTGGTAGTATTCGGGCTTCGAAGGTGACCGAACTATCACCACCAACACCGACATCTGGGATCACCCTCCCCCCGTGGAGGCACCCCCCTGTGTTAGTGTTGGTGACCATTTCCAGGCCTCCAATCTCCGTGTCTTCTCAGAGAGCTTCGCGGAAGGCCGGATGGGCCTTCCGAGCCCTCTGAGGGTCGGGGCGATAACCGAGGGGAAGCCATTCAGAGCTCCTCCTCGTCCTTCTCCTCCTCCTCCTCGTCCTCCTCCTCCTCCTCCTCCTCTTACTCCCCGTCCTCCCTCCTCCTCCTCCTCCTCCTCCTCCTCCTCACCCTCCTCATCCTACTCCTCCTCCTCCTCCTCTTCCTCCTCCCCCTCCTCCTCCTCCTGCCATCTGAGCGACTCAGACGAGCGGGTGGTCTTCGCCGACGTTTGCGCGCGGGCTGCTCGCGTGAGGTCGCGCGTAAGCGCCCTCGTGTTCAGTGCAGCGTGCCGGGCTGGCGGCCGGCGTAAGCCCCCGTGTGAGGTCGCCGTGCCGTTTCGCGTAAGGCCCGCCGATAATCGTCGCTCATCTAATCTCGGGGGCGGCCAAGAAGGGGGTAATGACCAGGGGGAAGGGATATCACGGCCGGGCCACGAGATCTCCCCAGATTTCATGGCCTTCTTTTCTTTTTTCCATGCGCACACTGGCCCGCCCCTGGGCCGTGTGCATGCCTCGGGCCATGGTTTGTGAGCCCTCCTCCCCGACTCCCCCGAAGAAGACCCGCGCTATTTGCCACTGCCCTTCGCCGCGGGCCGCGAAGAGGTGCTCCAGGGCGAGGGCTTCCAGCAGAAGAAGGGGCTCCTGTGGGGCGACCGCAGCCTCTCGTACCCTGTGCTCATGGTGAGGACGAGGGAGCTCGTGGCTGAGTCCCTAGATCCCGTCCTCCGCCCCATGGGCTTCGCACCAGGGAAGCCGGGGCTCACGCGAGCGATCCGGCAGATGCAGGTGCTCGTGGGCGGAAGACGCCCCCCTGTGCCAACACGACTGTATGCCCTGTCCTGCTCGACGCCCGTTGCCATTTGGGCTCAGGCGCTCGGCCGTCTCTGAGTAACGGTTGGGCGCTGCAGCTGGCTCTTAGGCCTGCGAGCTCGACGCTGCGCCGCGGCGGCGCGTGAAGCTCAGCCTCCGTGGCGCCTGCCATGCCGTCGCGCAGGAGGAAGGTGGAGGGAACCGAGGCGGCGGACCGCGGAGGGGGGCCGAGAGTGCGGGGCAGCGCTCCGTACGACCCTCCCGTGCAATCCAGGCCGCCAGACAGAGGGCCGTAGAGAAAGTTCGGCAATGTGTGGCAGCGCTCCGTGCGACCCTCCGGGACGGGAGCCAGGTGGAACCCTTTGGGGCGGCCGCCAGATTGGCAGAGTGTCTTTTTCGCCGAGTTCGCAATCTGGCGAAGAGGGCTGGCAGGAGGTCCAGGGAGGACGCGTGACTTCGGATATCACCCAAGATGAGCTTGACGCGTTCGCGGGTTCACGGGTGGCCACGTGGTCGTAGCCAACCTTGCTACGTGCCATTTTTGAGAGGAGGGAGTAGCCCGGCTTTGCATCGGTCTACGTCGTAGCGTAAGAGTCGCCTCTGACCAACATCAGTGAGTCATATCGCACATTCGTCGTTTTTTTATCTATCCATTATGAGGTTATTTCTTGCGGAAGCAGCTTGTTCAATATCCTGGTGCCAGAAATTTCGCAACGAAGTCGGGCGCCCCTAGCATTGCGTCGTCGCGCTAGAACTTCGTGGATATGTTATCTTCCTGTTTTGCGTTCTGCGCGGCAGGAGCGGATCGCGGCGTTTTTTTTTTTTTTTTTTTTTTTTTTTTTTTTTTTTTTTTTTTTTTTTTTTTTTTTTTTTTTTTTTTTTTTTTTTTTTTTTTTGTTTTTTGTCTTCTTCTTCTTTTTTCTTCTTCTTTTTCTTTTTCACGCGAGCGGCTCGGCTCGGCCTACGGTTCAGCAGTGCTCCAGGCGGAGTGCCGCGGCGAGAGGAACTTCTGGGGGCGACCCGCCCGAGGTCCGCCGAAATTAATGTTCATCTGATGGTAGCGAGGGCGGGGTCAGACGAGGGCTGCAGATTCGCTTGAGTTGCACGAAGTTGTTTCCCCCCTTTCTCTTTTCGATCCGTTTTTTTTCCAGCGTTCCTTCCCTGCCTCTCATCTTCCTCGCGCTCCTCCAGTTCCCCGTCTCCTTGTCGATTCATCCTCCACGCCTCTTGCCCCCCCTGGGCCGCGAGGCCCCTTTTTTTTTTTTTTTTTTTTTTTTTTTTTCCCCCGTGTGTGTGTGTGTGTGTGTGTTCTTCTTCTGTTTGGCTGCGTTCCGCCCGCTGTCCACCCTGCATTCCCCAACCCCCCTTCGTGTCTGGAGTTGCTTGGCAAACGCAGGCGAGAGTTTCGTTGCGACGTTCGCCTTCCTTGGTCCGGGTGTCGTGCGTCTTCAATCTCATGTTGCTCGGCGTCTATGCGCGCGGGTGATGCTCTTGGCCGCTTCGGCCACCCTGGCCTTCACTCCGCGGTGCTGCCAACTTCCCCCGAGCCACGGTTGCAAGCGCGGGCTCGCATATCCCAGGTCGGGCTGCGCATTGCCTCGGGTTTGTTAGGTGCGTTCTTTTGTTCAGTTCCACTGTTGCGTTGGCGCTTCAACCAAACCAAAAGGGATGAGTGGGCGTTTACGTGCGTGGGGGAGGAAAAGGAGCACGTTTGCAAAACCGGAAGAGGCGACGGAGGATGTTGGCACGGGTGGGGCGGGGCAAGGATGGAGGCGGTGGGGCGGCAGGGGTGGGATGAGGCGTCCGTTATATGCGGGATGCGAGAAATCATTGGGCGTTATCGGGTTCTTGTGGCGCTTCACGGGTCTTGGGACCCCTGAAAGAACGGTTCATGATGAAGATATTGTCTTGGGGTCAGCGGGGGACTTTTTGGGTTCCACGACGTTCCCCCAGGGCCCGTTTTTATCCTGCTTCGAAAACGGTGCCGTTGCGGGGCGGCATGTGCTGATTTTGCAGGGGTGCCCGTACAGGAGATCCATGTCGAGGTGCGAGCCTCGACGATCGAGGTTTGGGCGCCGCTTACCTCCCTCCTCTTCGTCCTCACCCAGAGTCACATTCCGACGTGGTGTCATGTTCTGACATTCTGTGTTTTGGTACGTTATGACGTGTAATGGTATGCGCCGACATGTTCTGGCATGGTATGGTTTGTTACATTACGCTCGGTCGCGCTATGGTATGTTATGCCATGGTATGTTCTACTGATGGTGGTGGTGGTGACGATGATGGGGTGGACAACTTTTTTGATCGAGCGAAACGCGGGTCTCAGCACCCCCGAGGGGGGGGGCGCCACGGGGTATTGCATGTTTCCGTTCGCGGCAAAATGGCGGGGATGTCTCGAGTGGAGTGCCTGTTTTGGTTCCCAGTATCCTCCGCTTTCGGAGCATATTTGGAAAATGTCCCCAGCGAGGTGCGGTTGTCAGCATTTCTAAGTGGGGCCAGGGGGTATTACATTCTTCCGTTCGCGCCAAACTGGCGTGGATTTCTCGAGCGGGGTGCTTGGTTTGGTTCCCGACATCCGAAAGTCTTGGGCGAGGCAGTGGCTCTGGCACCCCTGGCGGCCCAGAGTGCGAGGATGTGTCGCAGTTTGCTTATCTTGTTGGTCAGACTCGTGGGCACGGCTCTTCTTCATAATGCCACAGGAAGCCGCAGCAGGTTCCAGAGACCCCAAGAGGCCGTTGGAGGCCCCAGGAGGCATCAGGAGGCCACAGGAAACCACAGGACGCCCCAGGAGGCCCCAGGAGGCCCCAAGAGGCCCCAGGAGGCCCCAAGAGGCCCTGGGACGCCCCAGGAAACACCGGAAGGCCCCAGGAGGCGACGTGAGACCACAGGAGGCCACGGGAAACGCCAGGAGGCACCAGGAGGCTCCAGAAGGCTTGAGGAACCCTTACGCTCCAGGAGCAGGAGGCCCCAGAACGCCACAGGACTGCCTCCAATCCCCGGTTGTTTTAATGTATTCTCTTTTCTAAAAGACTAATAGATTCTACCCCCCCCCCCGGACTTATCGGGACCCCCGCGCGTGCTGTAAATCACATATGATTCTGACCACATGTCCATCCTAAATATGAACTCATACGATCCCAGCCAAGCCGGTATCCCCCCCCCTGCGGTTCCCTGTCAAATAACACTATGCGGTGACATTTGTTGTTCTAACATAACACTTTTTCGCGAATCCCTTGCAAAAAATGGGACGAAGTGCGCACGCGCGCGTCGTCGCGCGCGCATGCCGAAATCCTTCAAAAACCTTCGGTGCCGGAAGGATTTCGCAATCGAGTTTCCGAAAAACATACAAAAACATATGGTTTCGCAACACTGGTTTGCTAAAACAACTTCCGCGCGAGCTCTCGCGAAATCTTAAGAAAACCATATGTTTTTTCAAGATTTTCACAAAATGCTACCAAACGGGCTTCGCGCGCGCGCATGTCGAAATCTGTCGAACGCCCTTGCGCGTGTGCCGTCGCGAGAATCCTCTGCAAAAAATGGGACGAAGTGCAGACGCGCGCGTCGTCGCGGACGTATGCCGAAAACCTTCGAAACCCATCGGTTTCGGAAGGATTTCAAAATCGTGCGTCCAAAAAACCTACAAGAACCCAAGGTTTCGCAACACGGATTTTCAACAAAAGCGTGCGCGCGCGCTCTTCGTCGTCGTCGTCGTCGTCGCCGTCCTCCCTCCTCCCGCGTCGTCGTCGTCGTCGCCTACGTCGTCCTCTGTCTTTTCTCCTGTTTGTCGTCGTCGTCCTCTTTGGCGTCGTGGTCGTTTCCATCGTCGTTGTCGCCGTGGTCGTCCTTCCTCCTCCTCCCACGTCGTCGTCGTCGTCCGTCGTCGGCGTCTCATCGTCGTCCCTCCTATGTCGTCGCCGTCGTCGTCGTTGTCGTCGTCGTCTTCCCTCCTCCCTCGTCGTTGTCGTCGTCGGCGTCGCCGTCCTTCCTCCTTCGTTGTCGTTCGCGTCGTCACCGTCCTCCCTCCTCCTTCGTCGTTGTCGTCGCTGTCGCCGTCGTCGTTCTTCCTCCTTCCTCGTCGTCGCCTTCGTTGGCGTCGTCGTCGTCGTCGTCGTCTTCGTCGTCGTCTTCGTCGTCGTCGGCGTCGGCGTCGTTGTCGTCGTCGAAGTCGTCGGAGACGTCGTCGGTGTCGTCCTAGTCGTTGTCGTCGGTGTCGTCGTAGTCGGTCCTAACAGGTTTTGCAAACCAAGTTGCGGGTGGGTGGGTGGGATGTTTGCGCGAGCAGTGGAGAAGACAACTTCAAGTTCAGCAAATTAATTTCCTTGTAGATTTGGCTTCCCCTGGAACACGAATCCAGTGTGTTTTAAATATGTTGCCATAAATTGCTTTCCTTTCCGCATATCCATTCTTAAGTGTTATACGTATGTTTCTAAATATTGGGCCTCTCCTGGGGTACGAGTCGTTGGCCTTTTACGCGTGTTATTATAATTGTTTGCTTCTTTCCTTTGGTCCCAATCCGAGGTATTTTATGTGTGTTCCTATACACTGCGCCTCTCCTCGGGCACGGCTCCTCCCCAGGAAGGCCCGGGAGGCCCCCAGAGGCTCCTGGAGACCCCAGGAAACTTCACGAGGCCCCAGGAGGCCTCAGGAGGCCACAGGAAACCCTAGAAGGAGGAGGTTCCAAAGGTAAAGGTTCTAGGAGCCCGCAGTAGACTGCAGTGGCTTCCTCGGTGCCCTCTGCATCTGCGTGGTCGCCACAACGGGGCCGGCGGGGGTCCGAGGGATGCCGCCGGAGGAGGCGCGCGCGGGCCCCACGGACGTCGCCGGAAAAGGAAATCCCAAAGACTCATTCTCGATTATTTCGGTGCCGAGCAGTGTGTACAACAGACTCGAGGAGTTTTTTGATTGGAATTGGCGTCAGGTTTCTGGCCGATTTTTTGAGTAAGTTTTTTGATTTTTTGGTTGGCTCGCTTGCCGCGGCCTCCTTTGGATGAGACCCGCCCCCCCCCCCCCCAAGGGGAGGTTTTTGGATGAAATCCGGGAGCCCCCGGGGGCAGTTTTTGGACGAAACCCGGGGCGCT